CGCGCCCCAGGTTCATCAACTGCCTCCATGTCACTAGTGGGTGTCCGGTGTTCGATTCCCGTTTCAAGCACACACTCCATGATCTCCATGTATATGACATGCATTGGGGTGTTTTCAGGGGTCAATGTAGGTATAGGATGGTATAGGATCGTTTGGGATTGGCGGTGGTTGTGTTGATGAGTACGGCGCTGCTGTTTGTTGGACCGGATGGTCGACCATTGACCACGGTCCCAGGCCAGACATTGGTTTGTCGTGGTCATGTTGTGTAAAGGGATGTTTGTTTGCAAGAACCGTAGGGAAACAAGGAGTCTAGTCTAGCCATTTCGGTTTATGACATCAGAGATTCCCGTCACCAGAACCATGGGTTTGCCCATGGCCCTGGAAATTCCAAGATATGCATCGGACTGTAGGTTTTGTGGAGTAACCTGGGCCTGTACGAAATGTCGAATATCTCATCTTCTCATGAAATTTTGCTGGGGCCTGAAAAGTGTGCAGGAAAGTAGTCTAACATATATAATCCCTACAAGTCCCAAGACCCAGTAAAACCTGGTATTTTACCTCCTTATACCTCCTTAAGTATTGGTGTTGTATGACCATCTCCAGTAAAATGAGGTCTTTGACTATTATAGGGAATTATATTGTCCAATTTTACCTGTAACAGTCGGACCATTGTCACTATTCTCCGGAAAGGTCTCTACTAACTGTCATCATCCACGGTCGCTAGGATAGACCCAAGCACATAGCATCATGAATCATAAGATACATTGCCTTCCCGCCCGCCACGGAATCAGGGTCATCATGCATCCTAATAATCAGAGCTTCCAGGGATTCCAGTTAGATGGATGACTAGCCGAGCACGCCCCAATGGAGGAACAGCATTTTGGTGAGATCAACCTCAAGGTGATTGTTGTCCATGTTTGTGAATCCCTTTGGGACTTCCTGGTTCGCAAATCCAAGAGGAACATGTGTTCCCCTTGACTGAGGTTTCGATGTTTAGCCATTAGCGATGAGAGTCAGCATGTCTGAGGAGCGGTTCTCGATCTTTGCGACATTTTTCAGGATACATCGGCCTACACGCCGCCGACATAGAAGTTCTCTCGGCCTGATTTGTGTGGTCGATGATGCTCCAAGACCCACAAAAGGGCCCTGCACTTCCATGCTTAGACTACTCAATTGGATCTCCAGTCTGGTGGTGGTTTCACATAAGCTGATTCAAGCTTTAGAATAAGAAATAAGGGTTGGAAGTTGGAAGCTGACCTTTTGTGGTTTCTGATGTTTCTTCTAGGTGTGTTAGACTCGATTAGAACCCCTATACCAACAGCCCTAAGACCATGGCCTGCTGACACGCACACTGACCTCAGACATCCCAGAAGATCAAGGCTCAAAAGGCGGTAGGCTCACACAGATGCAAAGTACAGGAGGACCCTGCGAAAGCGCTGCTCTCGTGCCTGCGCGGCTCTTTCGCTTTCTCACTGCGCAGTCGTGCAAGCGCTTTCTTTGCGTCGCTGGGCTCCTTCATGCCATTGAGACTGTTTTTCCGGACTTGAACCAGAGAGCCTTGGAAGGGGTTCTGTAGCTATTCCAACACCGCATGGTACGGTATATCATGGTAAAGGCACCGGGTCACTATCTTATATCCATATTCATCCACATGCTCCGAAGATCGCATGTCCTTCTTGGTTCCCAGCCTGCCAGACGCGGACGGCACTCTGACGGCAACACCAAAGGGGGTGACTCTTCTGTTTGGCGTCGCTTCGTCCATGACTCGTCCATGCTTCCATGGAGGTTGGGTGCTATCCATTGAGGTTGGGGTGCTATTCTAGTCATGTTCTATCTCACCTATCAACTGGCTGCCAGCGCCCAACTGGCGCTTCCACTCAAGGGACGTCAACCTATCCAGACCATCCATGTATGAATTAGTGCATCTATATACAGTACCCCATTTTATGAAAACCCCTAAGCGCTAAACCCTAACGAGTCATGCAGCGAACGTCGTTCTGATCAAATGTGTGCTCGTTAAACTGGTCTCCTGGGTTCGCAGGTATGTAACGATTCATATCTATTCCAGTCCCATGGATGGTCTGGCCTAGGGCATCCTCCATCAGTTCACCCGAAAGGACACCTGGGAGGTTCCGCAGGTTGCGGCTGTGAACGTCCGGTCACCGCCCGTTGGAAAGATGCGGGAGAACGCGAGCGGCTGTGACCGTTCGGGATGCATCAACAAACATAAATTTGTAGACAGAAAGGCTTTACAATCCATATCATGTATAGATACTGTAGAGTGTGTTTTTTTTTACCATCATCGATGTTTTTTTTTTTTTTGGCCCATGATCGAAAGCTATTCGAGAATCTATTGACCACTTCGAAAGCAGGTCACGAACGACATCAGGAGTCTTGCTCTGACTGCGCACAGCCTCAAACGTGGAGGAATGAACGGATTTGAACATCAAGTGCAGCAAGTCACTGCAGCCCAGACACTCCACGTATGGACAGGGCCTGTCCGAATTGACCTGCAGAGCCGTCAGTTATTTAAACACATGAGCCGTCAGTTTGTTTTTGGACAAGGCCACTAACCATCATCATCCACTGATAGACCCAACATGTATGGTATATTTACCTACATTGGGGTTGTTTGGGGTTGATATAGGGATATATTCCAGTCCCATGGAGTATATGGGATGTGGAAAATCACCCTCCCACTCACTGAAATGGAAGAATGGACACCACCCGGGACCGTGGACACCACAAGTCCAAACGAGGGAGAGGGGGTACCATCCACTTCCGGTAGTGGTGCCCTGAAGTGTGGACGGAGTCAGGTGCCAACAGTCTCACCACAAGTTCTCCCAGACACGACTAATGGGACTGGCATACTTACCTACCTTGGGGTGGTGCCATGGGTGTCAATGGGGCGGCATATATTCCAGTCCCATGGAGTATACGGAACCGTTGGGTCCCAGATCCATGGAACGAATATTCACCTACATTGACCCCTGAAATCAACCACCCCAATGTAGGTATATAAATATGCCTGACCCATTAGTTGTGTCTGCAGAATGGACTCCATGAGTTCCAAGAGGCCTCCCATGGATGAGCACTCCATCCTCCGTCAACTAGCCGGGTGGAACTCTTGTGCGTTAGTACTTATGATACTTGAAAAGGGGGGTCGTGGTCCACCTTCCGACTGCTTTGTTAGCCAATGGACATCAAGCCAAGCTAAGCTTGACGGCACCCTTGCTTCCTCCAAGTTCGTTGCCAGAAGTCGCAGCGAACCCACGGCTGCAGCGTGCGGCATGCGAGGATTCAGTCGGCTTCGCATGTGAAAAGACATATCGACTGAAAAAGGAAGCGCCCAAAGTTGCAAACGATGCCGGAAAAAGAGCAGATCAGATTCGTTATAATAGCATGATTGATTGGTTCTCAACGATTTGGAGCGGAGACAATGTTGTGAAGTGTTGCAGGCTGGACCATGTTTTGAATATATTGGCTTGCCTGTCACACTATAAGCATGCATGGCTCGGTGGAAAGCACCTAAGAAAGCAAATGGGTCATTCACTTATAGAATCTATAACAGAATTGTTCCCAGCAAAGCTTTGTTGATTTGGCTGTGAGTCATTACACTTCCCCCATATGACTCTTGTGACTCAGAGTCGGATGCTGGTACTTCTTCAAGATCCCTTTCGTAGAATGCAGGCAAAGAGGTTTGTTGTGCTTTACGGGTCACAAAAACTGTGGATCAGTTTTGCTGCAGAAGCAGTTGAAACAACATCCCAATGCCACACAGACCCATCTATAGGTTGGGAGACCCGTTCTCCCTGTCCTATCCTACTTGTACGCCACACGGTGATTGGAATGGACATGAATGGAATGTATGAATGGAATCTGCCCCTCCTCCTGGTGCTGAAAAGGCTTCGCAACTTGACCCCCTCCTCCTGTTCCACCAATTCCATCGCCAGGCGAGGTCAAGGCGCGACCGTCGTCCTCCGAGCTGTGGGAGTGTTTGGGAATCAGACTTGCAAACAACTTTATCCTAGAATATTGCATTAATAGACGTGAATGAGTGAATTGCAAAGTGCTTCTTGCGCCGCTCGCCATGTGCAATTCGCTCAAAATTATGTCATCTTCATCGCTTAGATGTTCTTTTGTGGCGGTGCTTCTATTGCGTCATGTGAGTCATCATCTCCGATGATCCCAGAGCTTGTTTCGTTGGATGGATGCTGACTCACATGCCAGATGATGCCAGAAACATGTGGGACAGAATTGGGTGGAGGAACATTGTGGGCAGAGGCTGCGGCTTCACCAAGGAATTCGTTCCTACAACCAATGGGTGTAAGAATGCGATGGGAGGTGTGCGTTTTTGACAGAGGGAGAGATCTGATATAGATCCGTTTGTCTTGGCCTCCACGGACTTCCAACTGGGTCGCGGGGTCGCGCCATGACTCTCCCACCAGCGCATCCGGTCCAACCCGTCGGAGTCTGGAGTCCGGGTCAGATCCGGGGGTCCAGCGCGGCCGTCCCGCTGGGGCGGCCCAGTCACGGCGCCCAGCAGTGGCGGCCAAGCGAAGTCGTGGATCTCGTAGGCTCAAGCGGCGAATTCGAGGGACCAAAGAGTGCTGCAACACTTGAAGGATATGCCTATCAGACATCAAGGTGCCTGCTAGTGTGTTTGCTTTGGCCCAAGAAAAGTCAGGTCCAAAAAAGAATGAAGCAAATCACTGTGAGCAGGGGCAGGAGATCTCCGAATCTCAAGCAGTAAGCCCTCGGAGTGACGAGGCAAAGCCTATCTTAACTGAACTGCCATCGATGCAGGAACATCCATTGAGTGACCATGAACACCCAGAAGGAGCTTTTTCACTGCCATTGAGTGACCATGAAGCAATCTCCAACCTCCAGAACATCCAGCCCTATCGAATCTCACATGTGCACCTGCTAGTTAGTCGCACGCGCTGCACACGCAGCCATACGCTGCCACGCTGCGGGTGGGCGTGTGGATCAACGCATCGATGGATGATAGTGACGAGGCGAATGGATCTTGAAAGGTCCCATCGAGCCGAGCAAACTTGACACGAATGAATTCGCACATGAGATCCGCACATGAGATCACTTAGTTCTTCACACTTTGGGCGGATTTTAGGACTTTGGGCGGACTTCAGGATGCTTGGGCTTGGGCGATGGCTTCTCTTGAGCAGGGCCGGGAGCTTCCCGGTGTTGATCGTCCCTGGTCCGTCCCTGTTTTCGCCTCCAGGAGCGCTACCGGCGCTCGCGCAGCCCCAGCTTTACGAAGGCCCCGGTGACAGGGTCAGATGAAGCGGTGACACGATCAGATGAAGCGGTTGATACGATGACCCAGACCCTCCCTGACCCTAGGGATCCAGTCGTACCGTACCTCAGGTACGGTGATTGGAGACACTCTTATGTGGGTTTTGAGGGTCCAAGTACCTTCTGAGGAGGTACTTGGATCCCTAGGTTGAAACAATCATGGAAGTGCATGGCACCACCGTTTTGTAGAGGAACACCGTCTTCCTGTCGAGGCCATGTTCCACGTAACCATGAGGACGTTGCAGGGAGTGTACCCCAATTTATGACCCTAATGTATGATTGACACGGAAAGATGACACGGTACCTGAGGGCTCCTTGCCAATATCGTCAGAAGTTAGTTGGACCCCCCTGATACCCACCCCAACCACCAAACCTCAGCATGCATTTGGCAGCCCTAGGGACATGAAGATACGAGAAGGTTGCGCCGTGGCATAGATTCATGTACATGCCCGTTGGTGGTGGTTTCCCTGTGAAAGGTGCGCAAAGGAGGTTCCACAGTTTCTTTTTTTTCCTGTGTGTGGTGGTAAAGGGCATCCAATCATGAAGGGGCAAATGTTCAAACATGATCAAACATGTAAAGATATGTAAGCATTGTAAAGCTTTGGGGCCACTGTCCATTGATTGTGCGCTCTATCGTTCCGCCTCTCTTTTTTCCGCATCGTCGCGTCAAGAGAACCCGCGACGCCTAGCAGTTGAGATGTTTTCCGTGAGTCTATGAGCTCATCAAATTCATGATAGACTGCCAAGATCATAGCCATTTTGTTGCAGAATACTTGTACTATCTTGTACTTACGTAATTAGGTCCGGGTCATCAACATGGGTGTTGTGTTCACAGAACCACGCATGGTCTTTTCCATGTCTGGTGGGCAGCCCTCAGCCCAACCGGTCCACCGGATGCCTTGATTGCTGTCCGGCGCCGTCTCGCGAGGCGCGGGAAGAGACCCGCAGCGATGCCAAGTCCCACTCCCTTCGTCGTGCGCTGGGGCGGGTCGTGAGCAAATTGCAGGAGCCCCGGTCTTAACCCAGAAATCGACTGAGAGGGAGCGAACGAGCGCCCAGATCTAGCAGCAAGTTGATGGAAGTGAGAAGCTGACAGGCTTAGATCCTCCTTCAGCTGTAGATCAGTGTGTATATCTTGCTTGACTCTACCTTTGCTGACCTGGCGCCAACTGCAACCAAACACTTCTATGGCTCTTGCTAGTTGTAGGGCAGAGGATATGGCCTTTGACCTAAACAAATCACTGGAATGAACACCAGAGGGTGGGAGAGCTTTCTCATGGCTCTTCCTGGCTTTCTCATGCTCTTCGTCCCTTTTGAAACGCTGTTGTCCCCAGGCACCTCGGGTCCCTCTGGTCCGGCATACCCATCCAGGACAAAGAGCAAGAGAAGCAGCAGAAGCCGAGGCGCTTATAGAATTGGTCAGGAACAAGGTCCGGAATGGCTGGAGGAATGGTTATTGCCAGTGATTGGTCATTTCTTTTTGTGTCAAATAGTCACCGATGAACAACATTTAAAGGAATGTATGAATATTGCAGATCAAACAAGATCGCTGCGTGCTGAGGTTGCATGAAAAGACCCACTGCTAAGAATAAGGGAGATCCGACTTGAATCATTAAAAAGGGCCCTATTGAGCCACTTAAACACACTCGCTGGGTTCAATGACTCAGGCAGGGGGGCCTAGTTCCACTTCCATGATAATCTCACATGATCAGAGTCTCAGGGAGGGTGACTCTTCTATACCAAATACTTAGTAATAGGTCATCATCAGGAAAACCATGGAGGGTGTCCTCCCACACCATCTTTTGGGGCAACACTTTGAGGGTATTGGTGAGTTGCTCGACCCGGTCCCAATGGTCGCAGCGGTCGGATCAGGCGTGTCCCCCCAGCAGACCCACCTGGGAGGCCGCCCGGGGATCCTGAGTCCAAGAGACGTGGACATCCACTCGCCAATTCATGATATAGTATAGCTAGATCGATGTATATGTTATATAGCAATTAGATAAAGAAGCTCACTGTAGCTCATTGTTTTGAAAGGGGTCATGAACCAATCAGGAGTGTTGAAGTTCATCCATCGTCCATCGAAAGTACCCTTTTCAACACCAAACGAACGCAGGGTGTACTTGGACTCGGATTTGCTCAAGGAACCGGAAGAAGAAAAAGGTACACAAATAGATTCCCCAGACGAAGGGGATTGAACCGGGAAAATCCACCAATCACCTGCAAACCGCTTCAGCAGGTCCAGACGAGGGTGTTTCGTGGCGGTTTTTCCCTCCGGCTGCGGAGGCCACAGCCGCCCAAGGAGGCTCCGCCCAGCTTACGGAGTCGAGTGGAGCAGATCGTGCGGAGGAGCCAGGAATGGGAGCAAGTAGAAGTGGAAGAACAAGCGACTTGGCGGTGAAGGAGGGTGGACAGGGGGCACTGCCAGGAGGACAGCGACTTAAGACGCGTTTTGGTGGAGAGCGACTTGAGGTTTCGGGGTTTTGGTTTGGTTTGGGCACCGGAGTGGAGCCGACAGATGCTGAGAGTTGGTTTTGTTGATGTGGTTGGCACGGGTGGTACCACCGACACGCGTCTTTGAGCTGAGAGGTGCTTGTTTTCTTGGTGTGCTAAGGTGTTGCCAGGTTCTAATACGGATGGTGACAGTGAGTAGAGTTTTCGGCTATGCTTGGGTGGGCTCCGGCCACCCCTGTGGAGAGTGGAAAAGATGGAAGAGTTTGGAACACCGAAACCCATTGGATTTGAACGACCCGGCAGAAGGAAAACATGAATCCGCACAAGGTCCGGTTGTAAGACGAACTGAGAACCGCTCATCACTCATGGCTGCATGGCTAACTAGCTGCCTGATTCATCCTGGTTCACTGACTTCTGGTGTTGAATGTGCTTGGAAGTGTTTGGGCGGATGTGATGCTAAAGCCAAAGAACTGTTGAGGCTTCTCTTGAGTCCATGGTGACATGGTCACTTCTTAGGCCGTGAGCAGGCCATGTATGGAATAGTAGCTTCCATTAGGTATATCAGACAGAGTCAAACATTTTGAAGCAAATGCTATAGCAACTATTCCGTACATGCATGGTTTGGGTAATGTTTGCCAAGAGCTCCAAAAAGTGAACTGTAGGCCACAGGGTTGTCCGAAGTGACTGTGCACACATGCTAGCTTAAGCTGTGTTGGAGCAATTGGGACTCATAACCCCGAAGGTTGAACCTCCTTTGAGATTGAAAAGTTAACCTCAATTCCGAAGCTATGTGAGGTGGTTGATTTAAGTTAATCCCGAAGTTTGAACCTCACATAAGTTGATTCTGCAATTCATTCAGGTCAACCACTATATTCATAACAATCACGTGCTTCAGTCCTGCAATTCGCACGCCAAGGCGACGCCATCGCCAGCCAAGCGTGGCTGAACTGAGCATAGCTGGGTTCAATTGGACATCCCGGTGCTGAATCATAAAAGCAACTTAATGATGTGATGTGAAGTGAACATCCAAATTTACCCTGGCATTGGGATAGATGGATAGATAGACAGGCAGACAGACAGATAGACAGACAGATAGATAGATAGATAGCATGTCGCACGTGAGAAGAGTGTTTGGGGGATCAGAATCACTTGAATATCTAGGTGGTTCCTTGATGGAACTCCTGCATGACCTGGGGGATGTAGAAAGGACTTTGCAGGTTCTGTCCTGGAATGTATTGCTCCGGTGATTTTTTGCAGAAGAACTGCATCAGTTGAGGTGAACACGTCAGGATTCCATAAATTCTGTCCAGGATGCATCAGTTGAAAAAACAACAAGAGCAACAGCAACAACATATTCTTGCTGGACAATGTGATGCAGTGCGATGGCTTTCCCATATTTGTTATATATATTATGTGTTTTTTTGCAGAGGCAGTCAGGCATACGTAACTCGGTTCGACTTACTGTTCTGGCTGGCTCGCACGCACCACGGGTTCAGTGGGGCGAGACAATGGTTTTGACTGAAGGGGTCACCAGATGCGTCTCTGACTCACTAAGACGACCGTTTTGACTCGACGCAACGTATTTGATCATCATATTCGTGCTTTCTGTAGCATGGTACACGTTCAGTACGCTCATCTTCAGACCGTTCCGGGTGGTCCGCAAGCAACACCAGAAGTTTGGGCTGCACCTGGTGCAGTGGTGTGGCGAAGGAAGCTCCATCCGGCTTCTTTTGCGGGCGCCTTGAGGCGGAGGAGCCTTGGAGCTCTTGAAGTCCAAGGTTCACCTGGGCGAGACGCGCGCGATGCAGACGCGCGCGCGCGCAAGAGCGCGCGCGGAGGTAGACGCTTTCCGATGAGCCGGTTTTGCGTGCTGGTTGCGCAGCATCGGAACATCATGGATGGATAATGTGGGAGGTGAAATTGGCACAACGTTTTGGATGTTTGACTCACAGGCGAACACGGTGAAATTGGCACAGGCCGCCAACTCTTGGAGGAAAGCAATTCACTTGGATTCCAGCATGGTTGTGTTGTGGCACGGTTTCCTTGCACACACCAATTGCGGTCACCCGATGAGTGTCCGGTGTAGATCGCTCCAGTCACGCCGATTTCGACTCACTGGGCCGAGAGGGCATCCTATTCGGAATGCCTGTAGATCCACGGCAAAACATGCTACAGTAAAACATGTATATGATTAGAAATAAAAGTGGATCAAACAGGCATCAGAGATGGACTACGCCTACGCTCAAACCATCCATGGTTTACGTGGATGAGATGGCCCAGACCCTGAGCTCTCAGCCGTCAAGCATGGCTCACTCACTAGACTCAGACGACCGTAGACGTGTATATAACTTGACGAGTGGTGTGGGGAGGAGGTTGCTGTCTTTATTTGAATGGGATGAACATGGTGTTTGAATGGGATGAACATGGGATTTTGAACACATACCATGGACATTCACACCTTCCAAAAGTCATTCTTCCGTCGTCCCGGGACATGTGTCCGGAGCATCGTTCAGTCCCATGTCATCCGGCAAAAAGGATCAAAAACACCACAAGGCTCCTCTTTGAACAGTGCCACAAGTCCTATCTCATCCTGCTCTACCTATAGTCACCTAACGGTTAGGTGCCAACACGCTTTTGACATGACAGGACTTAAACTATATTCCTTATGCCACTTGACGCCTTAACTCCGTGATTTTGTTCCCAGTAGATGTAGATATACATTGGATTCGTGGGTCCTCGGTGGATACCACCAATCACCGTTTCCATTTGGATCCATCACCACGTTGCACTCCTTCCTCTTCCGTTCCTCCCGGCAGGTGGGCACCGCATCCGCCCGCGCGGTGCGCGCGCCGAAGGCCGCGGCGAAAGGCGGCGCAAGGGGTGGGGGAACGATTCCGCGGAAGGAGTCCAACTTGAGGGACGTGTGGCTTGGAGAAAGGTGGACTGATGGTGTGGGGCATTGGGGGTTGGAGCTAGCTGGAGCTGGGGCATTGGGGGGATGGTGGAGCATGGAATGGACTAGTCTAGGTGTAGCTGATTCGAACGCTGATAGATGAGGTTTTCAGGAAATGAGGTGTTCATGAGGTATTGAGGTTCCAGCGTGTCATCCGAGGATCGAAAGATGTTGGTGGAGGGAGTGTGGAGGAAGATGCGTGTGGTCGGATGTCCTTTCATGTCCTGCCTATAATCAGCACATCCAGATTTATAGACTCATTGCGTTTGGAAATTCGTTGCCAGTGGATCGGAAGGTGAAGCAAATCTCCTGCCTCCTGGTCCACCGTCGGCACCGGGGGGACCCACTGCCCCACTGGGTGGGTCGGTCGAAGCGAAAGAGCTCGGTCCATCTCGGGGGGTCCAATGGGTACCGTGTGGGTCATGGCACCAGCCTGGACTTCACCCTACTAGGTACCGACCTCTCTAGGCTACGCCCCTTCCATGTACAGGTCCGAACCTGAGTTCACCATGTCGGGTGGGTATTCGGAACATCGGTTTTTGCCAGTTTGGTGCCATGCCAGGTTCCATGTGGGACTGGGTGTATCTCTTCTGTTCATGTTCTTCTGGGAAAGAACCGGAGAACTGCCCTGCCCGGTCCCGACCTCCCCAGCCCGGTCCCGGCCGAGGTTGCGCAAAGTGGTCGACAAGATCCAGACCGAGGGCGACAGGTCCCGGGTGACCATACACCCCTGGCGGCGTGTGGCTTGGCGTGTGGTTCCGGAAGGTGACGGGTGGAGCTATGAGCTGAAGCAGGAGTTCAAATAGGTTTAAATGATACCCTACAAGTCAAAGACATCATTTTATTGGAGATTCTCATACAAAACCACTACTTAAGGAGATAATTGACCAGGTTTTACTGGGTCTTTGGACTTGTAGGGATGCATCATATTTAAGATTATTTAGTTAGTTGCATATATGTAGAACAATGATCTAAGATGTATAACTTCTGCAAATAGATGTACTGTACACATGCGATCACATGTGTGTATTAATATATATATATACAATATATCTTACTATTACTGTTTACACACCTGGACCCTGAACAGATGCTAGACACCTGGCAGCCTCTGAAAAGCTCTCCATTCCACGTCTTCTTTCGTCCCGGGCCTCCGCCGTCTATGTTCGCTCCGCCGTGCCCCCTGGGCTCTCCGCCGTCAGTCGCGGGTGGAGCAGCTGGAGACGCGGGCCGCGCGAGTCGTGGCCCGCTGCACGGTGCGGCGTACGATGGGGATGAAGGAGATGGGTGTACAGCCAGCGGACATTGGAGGCCGGGCATCAGAAACTGGGCGAAGGAATGTCACGGAGATTCACTGCAAGCACCCGCCGAAGACGGCAATTTCCTGATAGGATGACCCTGAGTGATGTGCAACACAGAGCAGAGGAAGAGCAGAGAGACCTTCTGTAGCACGTCTGACAGACCTCGACCTGATGCATTGCAAACAGCAGTCCGAGCTAGCCTGGGCTTTGCCCTGCCTCATGAATTTGCCGCGGCTCTTCTTGATCATATTTCTTTCTTTGAGATTGTGTGGGCATGTTGCACTTTGTTTCCTTGCAGTTGGTCCAATCTTTTGATGCTGATACTGCAACCCCGAGCACCATTTACCAAAAAGTACTACCCAATTACAATGTCGGACATCCTTCAATACAGCTCCCTATCCTTTCTACTAAATTGCCACCAAGTGCTTGATGCGAGGTATCCTTTCCAGATAAACTTGTCCAAGGGTTGATGCGTTTTGAAAGGGACCCATAAATAAAGAGTTTTCAACAGAAGGTGTTGGCGATGCCAAGTCATTAAATGAAGAGGAGCAGAATTGAGGAACCCAAAGAAGAAACCAAAGAACAAAGCAACAACATGCCCGCACATATTTTGTGAGACCCAGTGTGTGGTAGCAGTAACTTTGCAGCTGAATTAGGAAAGCACACATAAAGTAAGACTTTTTGATGAAGTGTCATATGATGTTATTTGCTAAAGAACACATTGATTAATAGTTTCAAATTCAAGTTAAAACATTTACCTTGAGTCTCCAATGACCCTTTTAAATTTGCCTTTCCAAGAAAACAATGTTTTTGAAAGAAAGCACTTTATTTTTGCATATGTCACGAAGTGTTCCATTTTTGTTTGTGCCCTGTCAGATCCTCCTTAGACAGTGTCCTGAGACCTTTTTCGGCGCCCCAAACGGCCCCAAACGCATCTTTTTGCTGCGTCCAAAAGGTGTCTTTAAGCGTCCGCACCGGACGCGTCCGGATGAAGATTCACCATGTACCTTTTTTGAGTCCTCATCTCTGCAAACGCATTTTTGGAGCAAAAACACAAAAACATTAGACCCAACGCAGAAAAAAAAACGGTCTTTGGAGACTCAAGGTATAGAGAGAAATAGATAGATAAATTAGTATATATTTTCGGAATATATGATTTGACAACAACAACAATGCATATTAAAATAACAACCACATCCAAATGAGTCATCAACACAGATCGGAAGATCTGAAGATTCAGGGTTGAATTGCCCAAAAGGAGTTGTTGAGCTTTCCTTCGTGGTCGGTGATCAATCGTAGGTCCTGCCACATCCGCATCCGGGCACGGGGGTCGTAGGTCCGACGGCAGGACGTGACCAACATGGACACCGCGTCGTGTGGTATTGAAGGTTTCGCCGCAAATACGTGTGGTCCTCACCGAAAAGAAGACGTGTTTTGGGGTCCGGGTATTCATGTATAGAGATTGTAGAGTACTTCTCACCCTCCAATTCTTCCCAAATCCCTTGTCACCAATATATGCCCGGCTTTGTGTGTGACGGGTAAAAGATGAGGGAGCTTGCTTGATGTGTCATCCCGGTCAGCGTGTTAAAGTAAGTTTTGCCGGTGAACCCATCTTCTGTCGATGAACCTGAGTTGTGTTGTATAGAGTTCCGAATATTGCACTCCTGGAAAAGAGCCCGGGGCCTATGTAGAGATTGGAGCAGATCGTTTGCGAAACAAAAACATGTTGTAAGAGGCTACAAGAGGCTTCAAGTGTTGAATTTGGATGAATGTGGAGACCATTTCGGTCAACAACTTGGAGAGCAAAACCCCTTCTAGGGATGCCAATGCCGTTGGTTTGACCTCACCTGGTCTTTTGACGATTTTGACGTCGCGCAATCGGGCCGTTTGAGGATCAATGATCCAAAGATCCTGGAGAAGCTTTCAGGATCGATGATCGCCTTTCATTTCAGCGGTTGGGCCAGTTGGCCAACGAGCCACTGGCAGCCAACCCTCCGGAGGGGTATAGGTCGACAGGATCCAGGATGCAGGATCGAACAGAGAACTTAGCTGGCACCAATGATGTTTGTTCAACGCTGTTCAACTCCGAATTTGAAGGCGCCCAGAAAGCTGTAGCGTGGAAAACCCGTGGATGGGTTGTCAAACTTGATTTCACTGAGGTGTTTTCTTGTTTGGCACCACCTGCTTTGAACTGCATCCTGCTTAGCGCTTTCTTTTCTGACAGCGCCGAGACTAGGAGACGCAATGTCCGCAGGATCGTGGCGAAAGGAATCGGTGCGTTCGTTCGCTTCCTTTCCGGATGAGAAGGACTCGTTTGGGCGAAAGAAACGGTCGACCTTTCTGCCATGTCAACTTTCAACTGTTTGAACCGTTCATGACGCGGCCGCGGCCATGTGCACTTGGAAGCTATGCACCAGGTTTTCTCAGACTTCTTTTTCAATGAGAATTAAAACCATGAAAAAACAAAAAAGACATCAACACTATCCAACTCCATGTGACTCTTCTGTTCGTGACCCCCCGTCTCCGTCCGGAGGTCCGAGAGCCGCGGCTTGCGGCCGTCGGTGGAGAAGGTGCGCGGTGTCCGGAGGTTCGCGGTGGACCCAAGAGGACCAGAGGAATTAGACAAGATGGACCCTGAAGAGTTTACTAATTTTTGAACTGTTGGGTTTCTGTAGTAGATGAACTTTGAAAGAATAACATAGAAGATTAACATAGAACCTGAAAACCACTGGGTTGTAGAGGAAAGTAGTCTTCCAGACGGTCCATGCCATCAGGTTCTAGATGTGAATCTGAAGAAGGGTGTAAGCCTTGTTACTGACATACACTCCGACTAACCCTGGAAGTGGAAAACACCCTGGTTCGTTAAGGATAGTGTTCTCTTCCAAGGGACCATGCCATCCACTTCCATGTTAGTGAGTCAGAGTGTAACCTTGTTACTAGTAGCTTCTTGCTCCTAGTAGCGATGGCCTCCACCTAGCTTCTTGCTACTACTAGTTGAAATATGCCACTTGAGGTTCCCAAGAGAGGACAATATGAATGATAGACTCATGTGATTTTTGGTGTAACTTGAGGGAGTGACTGAACTTTTGGGAATGTAAATGTAAAGGTATACTTTTAATATCACTCGATCATGGATGTCATTGGATGTCAATTGCGAAGATTGGTTGGATGAAGGATTATATGAATCGATCATAATCGATCCAACTACCTACAGCGAACATATACCTGGACCCCTTACCTTAGAAACTAGGACATGACCACCCTATATAGAAACATGCACTTTTGTAGTCATTTTCTGAGGTACTTTGAGACTCCAGGTGGACATGGATAGTTTTATCCATATTAACGTTCCTTTTGGGCGCTAGTTCGTCAATTACTATTGTTTCGTGGCATGTACCGGGTACCCGTGTTCTCTTCGACCCTTCAATGGGGGCCATGTTGGCCCCTTTGGTTCAAGGCCTACCCAGGAAAAGTGGATAACTTGAAAAAAAACCCTGTCTACTTGGGGGGCCGTTTGCTGACTACATACGGAACAGGTGGACAGTTTGTTTGTTTTCCCCGACACCTCAGGGGGTCCGGAATGGAAGTCGTGCAGCCTGACCCCTGGCAACCCCTTGGTTCAAGGCAGCCCGGCAGGACAGGCAGGGGATTGACAGTGTATGCCTCCACTTCACCAGGTTTGCCTTGGAGATGTCCTATTCCCTGGGCCTCCAAAAACGAACCCAAAGGATGCTTGAGGACCATCCTTAACCCTCAAACCATACTTGGGTATGAAACATCCCGGAAGGAGCATGACCATGGATTTGTGTTGTTTTCTTCCGGGGCTCGTTGCAACGCTTTCCCTCCAATGTTCCGCCGGACGGAAAACAGCGGTTCGACCAGCCGTGGTTTGGTGGGTTTGGGTCCTTCAGGATGCATCCGAGATCCTCCCTGTGCACATGACATTAAAGTTATATATGATGGACATCATGTGTGTCTAATGCTGGGTGCTATACAATCTGTGTCCTGCAATATGTTTGGCATGTTATGTCATTCATGCCATTCATTTTTGCAAACAATTTATAATGTTTCCGGCAAGCTTGTTGCCTGGCGGACTGCGGACTTTCGCTTCTTCTGCGGACTTTCTGCCCCGCAGGGCTCCTTCAACTTAGTGGGAGGCTTCAATGATTGGGACGCCACTGGGCCATGAAAGTGGCTGGGAACGTCGACCAAGAGGTGGCCAAGAGTCGGAGGTGGCCAATGGTCCGTTTTGGTGGGATTGGATATGGATCTCCGGCTCCTTCTGGGTTCAGCCCCTTGGTCATGTACCGAATCGCTCCCACGCCAGGTAGCACCGGTACCCCCTCACTGGGCTGGTCTTGAGGGTTGGGAAGGGCCGGGCTGCCCAGGTCTTGTACCCTCTAAAGTTGGGTCTCAAAGGACTTTGGTCTTTGAAACTGGCCTAGCACTCCTTGCCAGGAGTGTGGACTTGGAAAGATCTCTGAAGGATGGAGACTTGGGGCCTGCGCCGAAGGTGACACCTATAGGTACCTAGCACTTCCTGTTTGGGTGCCCTGTCTGGAGGACTATAAGTAGGGTAGGGTTGTCCAGCCTGGTGACCCGTTGGAAGCAGCTAGTGGGTTTGCTTTTGGTGTTGCTGGGCCCACGAAAACGCAGCAAATTTGGGCGAGAAAGATCACTTGGATCCACTGCTTACGCGTTGTTGGGTCCAGTAGTTTAGCAATATAATATATAATATACTACACACGGTTTAAATATCATTTCCCATGGCCCGACACCTTGTTGCGCTGGCAACAACGCCCACAGTGCTTCACTGAGGCGGAGGCGGAACCCATGCACGACTGCAGCAGCCTGGACGGCGGTGGGTGTTCTCCTACAGGTCCATAGTCTCCTGTAATGTTACAACTTTTCTTTTTCTTCTGACCCGATTTACATGGGAATGAGAATAGCTTTTGGCTCCTGTTTGCTCATGCTTCTCCATGGGGATTCTCCGATGGCTTCAGCAAGTTTGTCAGATCGAAAGTTCCGGGCCCCAATGCCGTAGACCAAGGACCAATCTCGTAGAGTATCCAGGGTGACCATGTTTCACCCATCTTTCCCGCCCACATCAGGCGGGCAAGCGGTTGTCGGAGTGGTTTCACACCTTCAAAAAACTGCTCCTCTTGCGGAAGCAGGTCATTCTATGGGTCAAAAGTCAGGAAACGAACAGTGATTGTTGATCATGGATTAAACAACAACATTGGAAGATTCTTAGCCGGTGTTTCTTCACATGGCTTAGCCACGATGTCCTTTTTGGACACAGCCGCAGGGGACTCGGACGTCCCGTGCGAAGCCGCACCAAGGCTCTGTGCTGAAGATCCGCCCCACGGCACCCATGGGGCAGCAGCGTGGCGTGCAACGCGAAGAGCTCCTTGGTGTTTCAGGAGGTGCTCGGTCTCTCGGTGTGTGTTATTTAGGAAGCAATCTCAAGTGGGAAGATCATTGGATGGCTTTAGTTGAAATAGCGGTGGAAACTATTCAAAGACTTACGACGGTGAAGATCAGTCAGATCAGGCTTGGCCAATCGATGGACATGAGGGAACGGCGTCCAGGCCTATTGGCTTATGCACCAACATCTCCTTGATGCGAGCTATATTATAGATATATATATATATACACAAGCTATCGGACATATATACATATAATACGTGTCACTGGAATTGTTTTCCAGTGCCACTGGTTGCTTCCTCGCCCAAACAAGGTTCCTAACCTAAACAAAAGGGTGGTCCTCCGCCCTTCCAAGGTCAGCGGTCCGCCGCCTTTTCTCCACCACTACCGTTGTCCTGTGTTCATCCCTTGAGCCAAACACATTGGTTGGCTGTCTGTTCATGAGGTCGTCGAATCCATGGTTGCTCATTCGAAGGTGTCCGGTCGAAGGCTTTCCCTGGTGTTCGATTCACATTCATTCTGTTTTCTTTTCGAATGAGACTCCTCAAAGGAGTCAATCCATCGTGTGCTGAACTTTCGATTCGGACTGCTCTTTAGAGTGCTATCATCATCATAGATTCGAAACTTTCCAAGCATAAGAACCTTACGAAGAAATGCTGCATCCATTGGCTTCGTTAAACAGTCTGCCAACATTATTGCTGTCGATATCCATCGGCATTCCGTTGTTTCCGAAGATTGTTGTTTGATCAACATGACTTCAATCGTGGTTCTCCATTCTTGGCAATTCGGGGTTGCCATCTTATTCACCAAATCATATAAGCTTTTGCAATCTGTGATTAGGAGAGCCTTCGGTTCACCTCGTAGCGAAATTTCAGGCTTTTGCCATTGGAATCTTCCATCTTTAATATATGCCCACATGCATCGCAACCACGTGAGCTTGTCCAGTGATGAGGACATTGCATAAGCCTCGGCACTTAAGGTGGATCTGACTACCCTACTAATCTGTTTTGAATGCCAAGCTAAAGGTGATATATCCGAGATTTTGTTTTCTCCAAGATCCTTCGTGCATGCTGCAATGAATACACCTTGCTGTGCCCTTAGCTGTGATTCCGATGCAAAACTTGCGTCTCCGAAGCTGGCAAATGTTAGCTGGTTCATTTTGATGTGTTGAACTAAGATTGCTGTGTTGGCTGTTTCCTTAGCTTCTCTTAGTATCTTGTTTCCTTCTAGAAGATCTTGAACTTTTGCTTTGCATATCTTCTTTTGTAAGAATGCCACTTTTGCCATCATGTCCGGACGTGAATGCACCGCTGCATATTGCATGCTTCCGCACAGGGCTCGAAGCTGATGTAATTCTGCTTGGGTTACTTCTGCCTCTGGGTCTTTTCGTCGAATCTTTGGAACATCAATTTGTTCAATTTGATGCATATAATCTTCTTGATCAATCTTTATCGAAAAGTCGGCTCTCTGCTCAATGGTAAGTCCGGTGAACTTGAATTTGGTGTACTCTCGGTTTCCGAAAGGCAGATGTTTTTCTACCCTGGCTAATGCCTGCTCGAATCGCTGATTGCCCCCTCCAATCCCGTCATCTACATGAGTTCCTAGGATTCCATCTAATTTGCTTGGATCTTCACGGTCTCTCAAAAGAAAATGCAATTATCTAATGGGTGTGCTTCGAAACCCTCTGCTTCCAGCCTGCGACGGAGTTCCTTGTAGAAGAGTAGTGGAGCATCCACTCTTCCATATGCATTTCCTCGTAGTAGAAGCACATGTTCATTAGACAGTTGCAACAATTCTTTGAATTCCTGGACTGGTTGCATAGCTAGTTCTCTATCATCCGACTTGCCCCTCAAAAAGGCAGTTTTGATGTCAAATGATTGAACCTGCCAATGTAATGAACTCACTGTCTGTAATATCATCATCCTACCATCTCGGGAAAGTGTGGGACTTTCTGTAGAGACTATCCCTACTTCGGGATCTTGGAATCCTCGAATTACTAACCTGGCCTTGGGCTTTCGCCCAGTTGGTGATGTCAAGTCTTCTTTCCAAGTCAAAACCCATTTTGAAGACATGATACGGCTGGGATGAATCCGGCTTCTAAGCAAAGGTTCCACTGTTTGCGTCTCAATCCAGCAATTTAATTCCTTTCTCTTAGCCTGGTCGAACTGCTTCTTTTCGGCTTCCGTGAGGTTCCTGTATTGGACTTCGGTGTGGGTTTTCTTTACTGCTTTATTCAATGCTTCTGCATGAAAGCTGGGACATTTACAAAATTTTTCCAATCTTTTCATCGGAACTATGACCTCAAATTTACACACTTGAGCTTGTGCTTCATCGGTGGATTCATTACTCCAAAGAGTACCCCTATCCTCGATGATTGCTTCCCCTGAATTAACCCCTTCAACTATCAATGCATTGTACACTGTCGAATCCCCTACTGATTCAAGTGTCGGTTCAACCCCTTCAGGATTTTCGGTCGGTGTATAGTCTTCTGAGTTCCTCATCGGCTGTGGGGTCAATCACTGGGATGAGGCTGGCATCTAGTCCGGGCGGCTGCTCAATTTGGGAACCTGTGCATGAGTTCCTACGAACTGGCTCTTCTTCTGGCTGGCCTGCTCGCGGTTCCTCTGCTTCGGCTGGCTCGATTGGTCGATCATCGGCTTGATCAGTTAGATCTGAAAACTGGAACATACCGCTCCTTTCTTTCAGCTGTTCTTTCAAGCGATTTGCCATGGCTTGGAGTTTCTGTTGACTATCGGTTTGGCTGAATCCATGATGGTTCTGAAACTCCCTCAGTGATACCGATCTCATATTTTCCCTTGCTACTCGAAGAAGTCGATTTAGGTGAGTTACCCAAATGATTGTGCGTGACTCGTTCATGATGACTTGACAGGGTCCAACCCATCGACCTTTCTCTAGCATGTTCGGAGCTTTGCGACGATCCCAAATCATGCACAGCTCTCCGCATTTCCAGTCGTGTTCACGACCTCTTGACTGCCTAAGCAATGCTCTTCGAATTGCGCTGGAGTTGTCTGCATCAAGGAGTGCTTTTCGGGCTTCAGTACGAATTGACATCTTTTTCTGGAAGAGGTCGGACTGGGTTTCTTCACTTTCTTCCAACGAATGAGTGATTGTTGATTCATCACTGCATACTGATCCCGGTAATCTCCTTGCTCGACCTAGGACTGCTTGCTCTGGACTAAACCCTTTTGCTACACTCATGCTGTTTTTGGCCTGGAAACATTGTTCAAGAGCATAGTCAAAGTCCTTATCGCTTTTAATCGGGGTGTGATTATCCATTCTGCTTAGCATCTCTTTCACTGTTCCTCCATGTCTTTCTATGCGACCCCTTTGCCATGGTGCTGCTGATGTCACGGACTGAATCCCTTCCTGTTGCAACATGTCTTTCCAATGTTGACTGACGAATTCTCCTGCTAAGTCGTGAACGATAACTTGTGGGGGTCCGGCCCAGTGCATCCATGTTTCTCGAATGACCCTTTCTGCTTCTTCTGTTCCCCTCTGGCACCTCCTTCCTAAATGGAAACGAGTAGCTTCGTCAAAGACATGAATCACATAAAACTTGGTTCCATCACTGTTCTTCCATTCAAAGCCGTCTAGGGTTATCACTTCATTAAACTCCTTGGGCTCTTTCAGTTTTCCAGGGGATGTCAGTTTTGGTGGAACCCTCTCAGAACATGACTGGCACAGAAAGTCTCCTGCTCCATCTACTACCTCTTGTGTAAACCCCAACTTCTTTAGATGCATAGCAAGTTTTTCTGCTGTCGGATGTCCTAAGTTGTTACGCATTCGTTGAATCAATGACCTTTGAAAGCTATCTAATGCCAAGTACTTGGGACCTGGATTATTTGATGCTTGGGGTGACCATGCTGGGACCTCGACGGGTGGTCCCTGGCTTTCGGCTCGAATTTGCTCAACCTCTTGGCTGACTTTGGAACTCGGCTCAACGGGCGCTGGCTCAATCGCAAATGGTGGAGGGACTGCTGCCTCTGATTCTCCGGATCGAACGGGGTCGAGCTTCCTGCCTTCTGGCTCTTCGTGAACCATGGTTCCAAACATGCATATCATGATATGACTTGGCATGGCTGTTCTTCTCTGATTCCTTAGTGTTTGCTTTGTCCAATTTTCTTCTCCTAGATCGAAAACTTGTTTTGTCTTTCTGCATTGGCATATCGTTTTCCTCATCTCTGATGACGTTTGGCTTGTTAGATATCTATCCATACCTTTTCCTGCTTGAATTTGTTTCACTTCGAAGCTGCATAGGCTTGCTAGGTAACTACCTGGCCATTCTTGCAGGGAGATCTCAACGGATCCGGACTTAGGCAGTTTCTTCTGCATCCAATCGAAGACTTCCTCCCAGACAGGATCAGTCAATTCGACTCTTTCTGTATCCTCGGGAGCTGCCTTTCTTTTGGGCTCACGTGGTGACGAAATGCGTGCACGCTTTGCAGGCTGTTCCTCACCTTCTGCGGGAAACAATTCACATAAGTCCTCTTCCGAGATTAAAGGAATTTGTGATTTCCCCTTTTCCTGCAGAATGCTCTTGGCCGCTGCTCTAGCAAAAATTTTTGGGTAGAATGCTGCAAACCGAGACAATGCCATGCGACTGCCGTGGACTTTGCATGACCCTGCTATTTGCGAATGCTCGTGCTCTTTGGTGCAGAACCTACCGTCTAGGCTTCTCACTACACTGTTTGATGTGGTTTGGAGTCTTGTGTATTTCTTCAATGGACGATGATCTTCTGGATGAATCAAACCAAACCTACATTGATCTAGGCTGGCTGTCTTGGTTAATGCCAATATGTCTTTTATCTCCGGCTGGTTCCACATGTCTGACGTGCCTGGGTTCTCCATAGTGAAATGCCGATGGTGGTAGACTTGGATTTTGCATAGCAACGAACAGAGTTCTAGATGTTGCTTGGAAAGTTCACGGCTCTGGATTTTCTCATAGCCCTTTATGCTTCGGCTTGCATTGAAACGATTCCAAGCGCACCACGGGTAGCACTCTGGAGCTACCCAAATGTTCTTAGGTCGCAGCCTAAAAATCATTCGAAGCAATTGCATCTGGCCTTCAAAAGTTGACAAGTCTCCATGCTCGATGGTGAATCTTTCTGCCCTCCCCCCTTGTCGAATCACTTCTTCAGACAAACGACTGTTGGGTTGTGCATACACTTCTAACAAGTCAACCTGCTTACCAAATGCTTTGTGGTTGGTTTCGGCTCGGATGGCTTTCAGCAATTTGGCTTCGAATTCCGTCTCAACTACTATTTGAGTATCCATGGCCAAAGCCTCCCACTCTAGAACCCCTGGCTCTGATGCAATTGTTCCTCCATCTGGCGGCGAGTTTGGCAATAACGAGCGAAATCTGCGATTGGTGCATCCAATGAATTGATCCGGCTCAGGCACCATTGGACATACTGGCTGTCCACTTCGTACACCAGGGCGAATGTCTTGCCGGGGTGCTTCTTTCCCCAAGTCACCTTCTTTTGGCCCCATTGATCCATTGCTGTGGCCGTCCATGCCAGACTTTGCCCTTGAATCTGTGGATGGGTTGTCGACTCGTCTTCGATCGGCTGGCGGTTCATTCGCAATGGGCTTCCAGGAGCCGTGGGTCCAACCAGACTTGCTACCCACTGTGTTGGCGTCGATGACGAAGGAAGGCTTCCCTTTCCGGCTGCACTCGACTTGACCTTCTGCTGAGGCGTCGTTGGTGCCTGGGATTTCATGGTTGCGGCTGATGATCTGCCACTCGTAATCGGAGGTGGCATCGGTTGCTGGAAAACACGAACTTCCTGATCCCAGACTTCCAAGTCGCTTTCTGAAAGGATCACGAGGCCGTCTTCGGTCTTTCGCGGTGACATGTTCTGCTTCATCATGAATGCCAGTTCTTCGATCTTCTCCTTTTGCGACTGGACTTCGGTCAGAAGTTCGTTCATCATCACCGCTTGGTCCTGCGGGACCTCTTGCTCTGACACCTGAGTTGCCACCTGGTTGAGGAGGATGGCTAGGAGGGTCTTGAGGCTCTGCATCACGTTCTCCGCAATCGATTTCACCATGCTCATCATGTCTCCGCGAGTTGGCATCGCTCAGACAATCTAGTGAACTTACTCGCTTTTCACAACTCGCACCAAAAATGCTCTCGACATTCGGCTCTGGATTACACAGATCTTGCATTCGAATCATGAGGAGCCCGGTTTTGGCTTCATGCAGTGGGATGTTTCTATTTAGTGCTTTCAAATGACATGAACTCTTTTGCAAATCAATCACTGCACCTAGCTGCCTCGTAGTCTGAATCGAAAGCAGGAACGGGGTGGCCTTTGGAACAACCTCTACAATCAACCACATTCGAGTCTTTCGAAATTCGATCGGAATATGGATCTGCTTATAGCTATATTCTATCTGGTTGTTTCCGAATCGAAATGCGACTCTGCTTGCACGATCTTTCACTCGATCTCGGACGGTGATCGGCAGTTGTCCAAGGAGCATCGGAAGGTTGTCTTCACCGATTACGCTCCGGCTGGCACCTGTGTCTAAAATTGCCATGCCGTTCGTTCGAAAGCCGAGGGACTCTCCGGATTTACTGGTGAGCCCAGTGGCGAGCAAAGGCTTTTGCTGCATCGGCTGAGGATTGTGCTTCCTGACGATCGAATCAAACACTCGGTTTCGTTTGGCGAAAAATGTTTGAGTCTGCTTAATTACCTCTTCTGCAAATAATGCTTCAACGATTGGCTCTGGCTCGAAATGCTTTGGTTCGGCAAAACACATATGGCTTTTGGATTTGAACCCAATCCCAAACCCGACCTCGGCTTCAGAATCAATCTCTTCGAAAAGCACTTGTGCAGCTGCCTCATTCTCTTCCATCTCATGAGAAGCTGAAGCTACGTTGGCCTGGCTTTCTTTCAGGCGTTGAGGACATTCCGCCTTCCAGTGGCCAAGCTCTCCACATCGCTTGCAGTGGGTACGAGCAATCCTGTTCAGCAGCTCATCTTGTCCTTTCGAACCACCTTTTCTGAATCCTTTGGGCCCAAAAGAACTAGACCCTTTTCCAGATTTGCTCAAGCCTTTGATCGGCCAGAATCCACGATTGCGCTTGCGCTCCACAATGCGGCCACGGGCCTCTTGGTAGCTCAGCAAAGCTTGATGAAGATCTGGAATTTCCTGAAAAAGTTCAGTCAACTCCTTCTCAAATCCTTGAACTGTCAGTGCATCGGCGTCTCCGGTCGTGGCCAACTGTTCCAACAATTCTGTAGGGACTTCGTCATCTTCTCCTTGGGCTGCATACAGACTCTGATCGGTACCAAAATGGTCTACCGAATCTCCGGGTGAGTCTTGTGGATCCTCAACATAATTTGTTGGGTAGACTTTCTTTTTCTCTTGTAATGAACCAGTGAGAACACTTGTTGAAAGACTGCGCATAGCCTTTTCAATTGCTCGTTCATCGAATGCTCCATTGGTCATCGTCAAAACTTTCTTCTTGTCCTCATGCCCCAAATTGCTCTGCTTCAGCAACACAAAGGCCTTGATGGCCTTCAGAGTGGTTTCAGGGCCTACATCTTCAAAGGCCACGTCCAACCTGTTGACAAATGACTGAGTGCTTTCATCACTCTTCTGTGTAGTCCTGTAGATTGCTTTGTCAAAAAGTTCGAACGTGTTCAGCTCGGCGCTCTCTTCCCACGATGACAATGCGGCCAGCAGGCTTCTCACACCTGTATCAGGATTGGTCAATTGATCGGCCTTGATCGATCGAACCTGGTGCCACGCTGTACCCTTGCATAACATCGCTAAACGAGGTGCCAGCATATTGCGATCTTTCTTCGGGCATATGCCATCAACAAATTTCACCTTTGCAACATACTCCTTGATGTCGTCTTGGCTGGGGTCGAAACTCGGCAGTAATGACCAGATCGCAGAATTCTTTTCTTCGGATCCCATGGCTTGCTAGCGTCCTACACTAGGCCAACCTGGGCTCCGCTACCAATGTCACTGGAATTGTTTTCCAGTGCCACTGGTTGCTTCCTCGCCCAAACAAGGTTCCTAACCTAAACAAAAGGGTGGTCCTCCGCCCTTCCAAGGTCAGCGGTCCGCCGCCTTTTCTCCACCACTACCGTTGTCCTGTGTTCATCCCTTGAGCCAAACACATTGGTTGGCTGTCTGTTCATGAGGTCGTCGAATCCATGGTTGCTCATTCGAAGGTGTCCGGTCGAAGGCTTTCCCTGGTGTTCGATTCACATAATACGTAAGTATACATACGTACAAATAATACACACCAAACAAATCCAAACAATACCAGGACCTTGCAACAGGTGGTTTGTGGCAACCTCTTAACCTCTAAGAGGCTATTTATAGACACCTCTTGGAAGGTCCTGGTAGTTATTCATTTTGACCATGCTTTTGTGCGAAAGCCTAGCGAAACACTTGCGACTCGAAGCAGGTGATCCACCCGGCTTCCATCGTCGCTCAGGTTCCAGATCTTGCGCAATGGAAGCCGCATGGCTTGGTGGTTGAGCTTGGAGAGAGGTCTTGGAATATGGTTGTGAAGCTGTGGATCCAGCGAGGAGATCTTTGGCAATCAGCAAATAGAGGAACTAGCAGCTTGAGGGGACCAGGCAACTGAGGTAATGCACCTTCAAACGTGGCGCCACCGTCAACCTTGAGTATTTAACACTTGCGGCCCTGGGGTGCATCACAGGTTTGACTTGTAAGACTTGGTGGGGCCAGAAGTGAAGTGCATACAATGCGAAAAACTCCTCCTTTACCCATGGGGTTCTTTATATATATATATATATCTTTATGATTTAGTACAATTTTAGATCTTTTATCCTTATATATAGTACAATTTTAGATCTTTTAAGAGGACAAGATCAATTCTGAGATGTGCCCCCAACACCTACATCCGCCCGCAGCCAAAATAAGCACCCAGGCACATTTACAGCTTTCCCCAGCTTGCGCCTCCGCAAGAAGAAGAAGAAGAAGAAGACGAAGAAAAAGCAAGACAACAAACAATGTGGATTCAACAAGCTCGAATTTCCAGTCAAGCCGGAGCCACATCAAAACTCCCCGATGATATCCAATGATTCTGTTTCAATCGCAGGCTGGGAGCATCGGCTGTTCCCCGCGGGTGGCACAGAGGAGACGGTGATCGTGCTCAGGTGAGAGGGTCCCGGTTGGCACGTCGGTATGAGCAAGGATCGATGGATCCTCACTAAACATATATGGGAAACCGTGCCACTATCTATTTGGGGATCACCGTATATGTTGGTGTCTTGGTTTATGTTGTGTTTGGCTTGATGCTTCGATGATGTTTCCTTTGGTATTGCTTTGTTGCGTTTGGTTATGTGGGTTGGACGCTTGTGAGGCTTCTTCCAGGGACCAGTGAGAATATGCTATACTGGCAAGGGTTTGTTCGCGTGGCATTTCTTAGTATTGACAATCCCCAAGGTGCTTTCAGAGGTTGGCAAGTTGGCTAGGGACGAGGATGTGACGTGATTTACAATAAATCCCGCATGCAACCATAGACTTAGACCTAGGTCCTTCTTGGAGCTTCCCTTGCATACCTCCCAGGCCTGTTTTTGGATTGGTCACTGTATACTCCACAAGAAGCCGATGTTTACCCCAGGCCCGGCCGATGGAGCACAATCGGAGCACGACCGTCGTGGAGCAGGACCTTGCATACCCTCCCTTTTCCGGACCGAAAAAACGACCTCCGAAAAATCCACCTCTCTCTTGGTGGATGAGAATCCATGAGAATCTTAGAAGTCCAACGACGAGATTTTGCCTTAGTGAAGTGAAGGAAGCTCCTTTTCGTGCCTAGTCAGACCATTCTTTCTATAGTCTTTGACTCCCAGGGTTTGGAGGTCCATTTCATGCCTGGAGATTCACCGTCCATGGTATCGTTTCGTGGGGTGTATGCCCACACCGGTCTAGGCCTGGACAGCGGAGTGCAGCAGCCGTGAGCAACGCGCATGTGGAGGGTCATGGACGGAACTGGGCGGTGCCATGGCCGAGGAGCGGAAGCGGAGGGAATGGGGAAAAAAAGAAAACGAGATGAACGGATGAACGGTGGTGATGTGTGATGCTTGGCCTGAAGTGCTTGACTTTGGGGAAAGCATATCTTTCAGGAGAGGTTAAGTGACCCTACTGGGGTATGTAGGGGATTATGATAGTCTATAGGGTTCTTCAACCTTGGTTGGTTCAAGAGGGGGTCGTTCTTCAATACCTTGGGATAGGTCGTTCTTTGACTTTAGAGCATTCCGACGGCACAGTTTTCTCAGGGTTGACAGGGGTGGCAGCAATCATGCGACCAAAGCAGGGGTCTCCGAAGAGAAGCACTGAGGTAAAAAAATAGGACGTTGTTGATGAAAGCTGATGAATCTATGGATTCTCGGTTGAAGTGGTAGATGTTTGTCACAGCCCCCACTATACCCGCTGAGTCATTTCTGGTCAGGGGGATATGTTTGGTTCATGAAGCGGACAGGGACAATTGAAGAACTGGATCATTTGTCCGCCGTAACTTGCTCAGTCAGTTCATGCCCCCGTGAAGCGCATCTCACCACATGCTTCCACACCTCACCACATCAAAAGCCCCCCCACCGACGCTTCACTCGCCGCACGCGCAAAAGACACGGAACGGCGCAGAACGGGCCCAGGTGGAAGGAAAGCCGGGCGACGTGTTTCGTCTTCGCTTTGACCCGCAGAACCTCAGCATCACCTGCGAGCGTCGCTGAAGAAAGGGCGAGGGCGGACGGGCGTCAGGGCGGACGCCGGGCGTCAGGGCGGACGGCGCAGGAGTGACAGGAGTTGGGGTGGGCCAAACTCCACCGGGACCTGAGGTTTGTTTGGCTTCACCTGCCGAGAAGATCCTTTCGTAAGTTAGTAACGTTAGTATACGGACCGAGGGGGGCCTTCACACCGGATGCCGTCGAAGTGGTGATTTGGTGGGTCCTCCCGCAGTCGAAGTGGCGTGAGCGTTCGCGTGACAGAATCGGCGTAGTGCATGGGAGTCTTGATGATTTGGGGCACAAAGAGGACTTGCCAGGCTTCAATGACGACATATGCTGACTTAATTATGGGTGTGCCCCAGTAAAACCCAGTAGGAGTCGGTCACATGGAACGTTCTATTGGGATTTGATGGCCCAAGGGGTCCAGAAGTGATCCCAACTCGCTGTTCATAGAAGCTCATGCGGCGAGCTTTATTCACAGCTCAACATGAAAACTAAGACACGCTCCAGAGCACAAGCTGCGAGAGATAGTATACTGTCCTCGGTATAGACCGCGCTGCGTAGTATGTGAAACATACATATACGCTCTAGACCAACATTTTGGGAGAACCTCCGTGCATTTGGGCCACCTGGTGCTTTCGCGGCGCTGTTTGCCGCGGCGCGATGTGGACGATCCTGTGGGGAGTCGTTCTACCGAGCCTTCTCCAAGCTGTTTGCGGCGCGCTGGGCGCGGAAGACCCGCCCGTGGCGTGTGAGGATGAGGAGCGGAGGTGTTGTTTATGTAGGAGGAGGAAGTGGTGCTGTGTGTGTGAGAGTGTTGATCTTCTAGGTCGACAAGATCTTAATAAGAAGTGTGCCCTGAAGATGTGAATTGTGAGAGGAAGGTTCAAACCTCAAGAATTGTACTGAACGTGGTTTCTATCCCTGGGGATCCAGTCGCACCTCCTCAAAAGGTACTTGGACCCTCCAACCCCCCCCCAGTCCCACCTTCTCAGAGGGTATATACTTGGTTCCTTAGTTAGGCCATTAGAATCCAGTAGGATCTTGGATCCATGGTCTGGGTGAGCGACACGCTTCTCGGTCAGGAGACCCTGAAGTTGTTGCAGATGAAGGGCAGGCGGCAGGTGGAGAAGGACCCGAAGCCGGAGCTGCAGGCAGGGGCAGAGCATGGCTCTCTGCCCCAGGTTTTTCTACATGGTTTTTCTTCGGTTTTCGTGTGCTGAGCTGGGCAAAGTGATCACTCAATGCGTGGTCGTGTGGTGTTGTCCCAAAACCGCCAAATATGACAAATCTTGCTTCAATCAAAGCATGGGGGTAGGCGTTTTTGTTTTTGCAAAGCATCAAATCTAAAGGACTTGCTATACTCCAGTGACGGGGCAAAATTCCGCGGGGGGGAATGTTCATCACACTTTCAATCTGCAGATCTTTCACAGTGCAAAAAAAAACCCAAACCTCGAGGTAGTGAGCCTCAGGTCTTTCACCCTTGGATCAAAAACCTGCACCGCGATGCCCCACTTCTCCAACAAACAGGTGATGCATTTCGTTTTGGCCCAAAGTTGGGAGCTGGTTTTGTACTTTCTCATGCGCTTGGCTCAGTGTCTTCCTCGCTTTCTTTACTTTATCCCATCCCTTCCGGGCAGAAAAAACACGACCGCCGCTCCACGCGAAGCTTCGCCGTCCGCCGTCCTAACCGTCCCAGGCCTCGAGTGTCCTGGTCTTCCGGCATTGCCCCCGGTCCACCCATGCCAACGGCATCGTGGACGTGCCAGGCGGCACCCGACACACGTACGCGACGGTGCGTGGGGGTTATGATGGCGAAGGTAGACTGATTGAGGTACATAAAGCCATCAGAACCCACCCAGATTGAAGTGGACATCCATGGAAATCCTCTGAAAAGGCCTCGGGGGGTGAAGGTGAACTGGTCTACATTACCTGGTGCGGTGGTTCCTGGGTTTGCATCAAATGGAGTTGGGGGCGGGCATTTGGAGCAGGACCTGTGCGTAGCACTGTGTGTGGCACCTACAGTGATAGCCTAGCCCCTAATCTGAACTGAACACACTGACCTCACCTGAAGGAATTTTTGGGCGTTTTGAAACCATCCAATCTGCAGCAGATCGATATGCAGATCGGTACCTCTTGTGAGGGCGTTGATTTTTCGGCTGAGGCTGTAAAGATGCTCTTGTCTGTGTCAGTGTCCATCCAGATGCATTCACAAGTTCCCGCACTTCCCAAGAACCCCAGAATAATAGACCTCCTGTTCCATTATTGGTAACATTTTGTTTGTTCCGCCAGTGGTGCATGAGCTCATAAGAGTGCTCATGAGCATTTCACAATGTTGCACAGGCGCAGCCTTTCCGTTCGCTCTTTGTCCACTACCGCTCAAATCTACGCAAGCGTGACACGCAGGCTTTGACTACTACAACAACTACTCAGAGGAGGTGGGTTCGGCACGGTGGCATCCCAGAATAGATGAATAGATGGATCCAGAGGAGTTTGGAAGAAAACCCTGCGAGCTGGTGCCACCGGGGAGAGGCAGAAGGGGAACAGTGGCAGGTGCCATCGACTTTCTCACTTCGGAGCACCTTTTTGATGCCTCCACCTGGAACTCGGGGGAACACCGAGTTCCGAGTTCCACCAACACCAAATGAACCAGGCATTGGGACTCTAGGTGTCTACAAGACTTCTATTATGCTCTAAGCCCCTATTTCGAGCGCCCTCTTGTTTTTTTGGTTGTTTCTTGGCCCACTACCTGCTTGTTACTCAGTGGTATGCCAGACCATCTCATTCTGATAGACAACCCTGGCTCGTTCTCGGTCCACGCAATACCTGGCGCCATGCTTCAGGAGTGGCCCCTCTGGCCTGTCCCAGCCATGCATTGCTTGCCTCGCGGCCTAGACATTCTCCAAGCACAAGGCCTGAAGTTCAGGAGCAAACAAAGAGAGGTTAAGTGACCTTGTAGGACCTTACTGGGGTACCTATGGGATAGTCTATAGGGTCCTTCAACCTTTGTTCGAAACGCGAACTGAGATGATTCTTTCACAGGTTTTGCAGGCGGGGGTGCTCGCTGTCTCCATGAACCACTGCCCCACCCCCCACTGCCCCCCCCCCACTGCCCCACCAAACAAAACACACACACACACAAACAAACAAACAAACACATGCAGGCACATACACTCACAGCAGGAGCGTGACCTCATCCTGGAATCTCAAGGACAGTCACTGGCTGAAGGTCCTGGCACACACACACACACCCATACAATCACATACTTTAATATATAACACTGAAACAGCCTGACACCAAACCACGAAGCTTCGCATCACCCCCCGCGTCCCACGCCGCGCCACCACACCCACCGAATGAGCGGAGCGCGACCACCTTCGCCGCGCAGGGCGCTTTCTGAAGAGTAGCCTTCCAGGGCCTATCTTCGTCATCGCCGACACGGTGTTTCGCGACAACCAAACGGCGCACGCCTTGTTGGAAGGCTTTGATCCTGGGATCTGGATCAGGCCCGAAATGTATCCTCCCTCGAAAGCGTGAAGCACTGCAGGGTCCAAGAAGAAGAAGTCCCCACACGCCCCCACCCCTTCTGATAAGTTTTTTGTTTTTTTGTGAGTTTCTCTAACTTGAGAGGACCGCACAGCATCCAAATCATTCCCCATTTGGCTGAACTGACTCATCGAAAAGCAGGTGGTATATTTGTATATATTTGTCGTATTTGCAGGAATTTGCATTGAGCATTTGATGTTTGAGGCTGAACGGATTGGTGGCGAGGTTCATCATGTTTGTTGTCCCTGAGGGTTTGCAATCTGCTAGTCCACGGAGTGTGTGGATGGACGTTCTATCATTCTTGTCGTACAATCGAACTTAGACATTATATTTGACAAACTTGGTGTCCAAAACCCCAAGTTAAGTTGAAAATGCGAGAGTGCTATCAATCACAAGTCCACTAGACGCTTGCCTTCCAAGTTGGCGTTGACGTTTTGATGTCCATTGAGATGAGTGTAGTGTACTGTCTCCATTTTGGGGTATAGTATAGTGTTTCATTTTTGGACATCATTAGGGGCTCAGCTTTAACGTATTGTTTCCCACATATTCCCACTATAGAGGTGGTGTACGCGCTTCGAAAGACCTGCAGCCGGGCCAAGGACATGCTCCCTTCGAACAAGACCCTCTTATCGATTCACGCGCCATTCAGACGCCTGACTGCAGGTGAGCTGCGGTTGTTGACCTGTTCCTGCCCCCTGTTCCTGTGGAGGCCAGCGCTTGGAAGAAGACAATGGCCCCCCCAAAAAGGCATGGCCTCAAACAAGGCGGCCTCCATGTTCGCAGAGGTCGGAGGTTCATTCTTTTTGGAAACTATACTCTTCATGCTGTCATGCTGAGGTAACTCATCTACCTGCAAATATTTGTCTGGAGAGAAATCGTTGGAGGCGCTGAAGGACCGGGGAACTGGGTCCCTGTGAATGACTCTTTCAGATCCTGTGCTCCGTGTCTTTTCCCTTGGAAAACCCTTGCAAGGGAAGGATGTTTGTTTTCTAATTTATGCACACCATGGATGAATAGAGTACTGGCTAGCTGCGCCATAAATGAGGTAATTACATCATGGTAAATCTATTGAACTATTCCAGTCCCATGGATGGCTTGTGTTAGAACAAAGCATGGGAGTCCCTTCCGATAAATGAGTCAACCTTAGGGGGCTCAGGAGGTTTTCGTGGATCGTGAGCACAGCAAAGATACATGAGTGTGTATTAGAATAGGAAGACCTCCCTGTTTGAACCGCTGAAAGTAAAATGGACCACAACCCACTGGGCCCGGATGGTTCCCATGCCCAAACACATGGTATTTGGTCCAAGTCCTTCACTTAGGCTGAAGGAGGCTGAATTGTACACGACAAGTGCCCAACCACGCGTTGCTTCTTTGTTTTCCCAGCACATCGGCTTTGCCCAGCACCATCACCATCTGAAGGGCTTTCAACTCTTGAGATGCGGCCCAAAGACGGGAACGGTTCCCCTTTTTGTTTTGAGCCCAGCCTATCATCGTTCCATATCCAACGCATAAGCCGAGCGTCTTCAGTGAAGTGAACCACCTGTCGCAGATGACTTAGAGCCCCCTACTGTTGCGTTGGTGGGATTGGATCCTAGCACTTGGATGGTCCTGATTTGAAACCAAATCTGCATATTCGCTATCTATTGATACTATCGACATGGTGATACATGGTTCTCTAGTTTTTTTTCCTGCATGTCAATTCCAACCCATTCATGTTATTTCACTATTTGAGATCACTGTGACACAGTCAGACCCCCCGTGCGACTCGACTCAGACCTTTCGCCACAGGAGTCCATGAGCCGGATCCCCAATCCTGCCAGCTACAGCAGCCAGGGCTGCAAGTAGACATGGAGAAGGTGCCTCCATTTGGACCACGAAGTGGCCAGAGATGGCCAGAGGTTCTAGGATTCAAAGCATTTGATTCAGATGTGCTTCCTCTTCTTTGATCTTCTTTGGCCCGAGAAAGGTGCCCATATGTTTGACCCTCCCAAAACGATGCCCATTGGCCCGTTGGACGTATCTATACTATAGGATCCTTTTGGTATGGCCAGCAATGCTCTTTGCCCCGACTTCTTGTTTTCTTCCGGAAACAAATGCCATCACCTTGATAGCGCAACATGTTTGACTCATGAAGTTTGGCGGTTGATAGCCCGGCCCAACTGCTTGGGGTCCATTGGTTGGCCAAACACCGGCGAAGCGACGTGGGTGAACATGAGGTCTTTGGTAGGGCGGGGTGGGTCCAACGTATCCTTCTCGTGAGGGGTAGGTGAGAAAACCTGCTTTTTGCTTAAGGTAGAGATAGATAGATTAGATTAGATTAGATTACAGTAGATTAGATTAGATTATATAGATTAGACTAGACTAGACTTGACTTGACTAGAATGATAGATAGATGGATAGGTAGGATAGGATAAATAGATGCTTAAATCCACCAACCTGAGGCCAAGTGGTTGATATGTTTCCAGGCTTCCAGGCTTCGCCGCACATCCCAAAAGCGGTTCCAAGCGATGCGTCGCCAGGCACCGTGATGACCAAGCTCTCTGAGATTTTGGGTCCTGGAGCGGCGGGCAACTGGAGCAACTACAGCTGCGAGGCGATTCGCGACGCGGCGCGGCGAACGACCTCGGCGTCGGTGGTTGGGGCTCTGATGGGCCCTGCTGAGGTTGGATGCACTGGGCGATGTACTATGAGTCAATGAGTACTATTTTACATCTATTTACCTGATCTTGATAAAAACAAAACCACAGCTCCTGCCATGGAATCTCCAGCTTTGAAGTGAAACTTCAGGTGTTGTAATGTGTCCCCATGCTCACCATCATGCATTGCTTTTGGGCAGGGTCCGAACTCCCTCGAACCTTTGACAGATAGAAAGTGACATGAACTGAGCAACCCATCACTTGCAGTACTAAACCGAAACGGAGAGGGGGAGGGAGCCCATGTTGTGCCAAGAATGGGCAGCCAACATGTCCACCCCAAAAAGATTCTGACATGCAACCATCATGTCTTGGCAAACCATGTTTGTATCTATCCCAGACACTCATGGGACTGCCATATATGCCGCCCCATTGACCCCTCTGGCACCACCCCTGGCGGTTTCTCGGCAGTCCGGACTGGCAGTCCCACTAGTCGTGTCTGGGTATTTGGACTACTTCCCAGAGACACACGTCACGTCGTTGGCGGGGTCTACTTCGACAGCCCATGCACCCCCCTTCTTCGACGAGGCCTACTTCGATGAGTCGCAGTCCAAGGCGCCGGTCCTGAGGAGGGTCCAACTTGGTCCAACTAGAGGTGATCCCCAACAGTTGATAACATGATAATTACTCCCTCACAATCTGACATAGAACCCGAGAATTGACAGGTGGTTTCGACGATTTTCCTCCAACCGACCCTGTAGTTGCGGGGGTTCCATGTGGTCCTTTGCGGGGGAGTATTCTAGAGTATTTAACATTTGGGAGGCCTCTTCAGGAGATTTGTTCCATGTCATAGGTTGTGTTGTGTTGTTTTGTTGGAAAAGTTCCACAACACAAGAGAGATCCTAGGCGTAGGCGTTGACGTTGATGATGTCCTCTTTAAAAGATGCTCTATTGGGCCTTGCACAAGAGCCAGAAGGCACTAGTTAGGTGTTTTTTCTCGGGGGGGCAGATGCGTTTGGAGATGCAGACAGCTACAAACCACCGTTACCATTAGAGTGGCAAAAGGCTCCGCTTATACTTGTTATTCCTCAATTTTTACAAGGCAAAGCCCTTTCACCATGGGTTCCAACATACTGATTTGCTGGGATTTCATGTATGTGTCCAGCACCTCCATATTCAATTGACTCCAAGCCACTGCGGCGAAGTCTGTTTCGATGAACGACACCTTGAACGAACAACTGGACTCCCCAGAGGATTTGCAGCCTGGCTGGACCTTCCTGGCTGGACTCCACCGGTGACATGGACTCTTTATGTTTATTTGGTCAGCCCACTTAGAAGGTGAAGATGCGTGGAGCCTGCTACGCGGCCAGTGACTTTGTGGAACGTCTCTTCATGGAGCTCAGTCAGATGACGTTTTCCACGGGTGGAATGTTGGGAGGGCAAGACCACTCCTCATCATGAGAAGATGGAGTCCAATCCAACCGTTTCTTTCCTCCTGAAGTGTTGTTCCACAGCTTTGGGGCAGTGCAACAGGTGAGGAAGTAGAGAAGCAAACCGCTTAGTAATGCCTGGCCTTGTCTCCTATTTAGTGTAGGGGTACTTAAATATCTTCAATGCAGCCAAATTCTGATTCATTCGCAAGTGGCAAGCGCCCAGCCAAACAGAGATTGCTTGGAACCGAGCAGCTCAGCCCAGTCGGACAGCTTGGCTGAAGCCTTTTGCGTTTGTTCTTCGATCGTTAGTTCCAAAGGGGGTTTGACTTGAATGACATTTCTTCTTCACCTGTCCCAGACACGACCTATCTGGGCCATGGGACTGCCAGTCCGGACTGCCTTCAAAACCGCCAGGGGTGGTGCCAGGGGGGTCAATGGCATATATGGCAGTCCCATTAGTCGTGTCTGGGTGTGGTGAACGTACCTTTCAACTCTGCCAGCCGGTTCCGGCAGCGGCGCTCGCTCACCTGTTAGGGCTCGCAACTCGCCACTCTGGCGGGTGACCGGTAGACCTGGAAGCGAGTCGCTCTGAGAATCAGGGGTTCAAAATGAAAAGACTTGGAAGCGAGTCGTGGTGGTCCACCCCTGTGTCTTGCGTTTGTTTCGACTCAATGTGAACACGTGAAGGAACGGCGATCTATCCCAGACACTCCATGACTGCCATATGTGCCTACGCTGGGGTGGTTTTGGGGTCAATGTAGGCATATATGGCATACATGGAGTGTTTGGGTATCATCTATAATCTATAATTAGTTACAGCACTGCAGAGGGCCACATGCACTGGTTTGTGGAGGAACATGGAGAAATGATTGAAGTCTCAGGCTCCATGGGATCGTTTGCAGGGTTGTCATTTGCAATACCTGGTTTTGCTGAAGGTGACTTTATATTTCGCTATGGTTAAATCCCCTTCTGCGGAATATTTTCCAGGTTCCTCAAGCAAATCCAAGACTAGGACCGGTTAATGATGATGTCCCTTCGTCCAAGCTGACGACCCAGCCGCAGGCGGTGCACATATCATAGAGGGATTCAACCCGCGCGTGTGCCGAAACCAAGATCGAAGATGGAGAAACCGTCGACGACGTCCAACTCTACGATACGTGGAGGCTCGCTGATCAGGCTGCCATCGTTCGATGCTGAGGAATGGGCTGGTGGCTTGACACTGGGCTGGAACAAATTGATTCCCAGCCACTTGGAATGGATCTTTCGCCAGAACTGGGGCGCTGCCGGTGGCTGCCAGGACTAGTGAGCCCACGGCACTGGGGGAAGCCCACTCTTGAGCTAGGGTGTCGCTTGATCGTTCGAAGTTCCAAGGCGGGATGCTGGCACTGAGATGGATTCCCAAAAACATGGAATCACCCACATGGTATCTTTGTGAGTTTAGATGTAGCCAAGAGGACTGGTTTTAGATGTATCACTTAAACGGCCTTGTGGCTCACATTTAGACTCACAATGGTATCTGGAAACTGGTATGAACTGGTGCAAAAGGTTCCATGCCATCAACTCAGGCCTCAAGCCGTGACTGTCATCCTCAAAGTGCAGTCTTCAAGTGGACCCCGTGGACCCCTTAACACCCTATGGATTTGGTTCTTGAAGAGGATAGCATCTAAACCCTCGCGGTGTCACGCCCACGTAAAGCTATACATCCTTGTCAGACCAAAGATTAAAAGTTATCACGAAAGATCAGCCATCGGTCCAAACTCCAAGCTGCACAGCCAGACACATCAAGAACAGATCCATCCAAAAGCCTGCTTGCTTGCGTCCGCCCACTTCCCATCAATTTGCTCATTGCCCATTTGGCCGAGTCGATGCTACACCGCCCCGAGGTGAGTTGCCGTCGCTGATGAGGCTTCATGACTGGGCGCGCACCGTGTACAACGCGGTGCCACCTTTGGAGGCTCGCCTTCAGGCCTCCATTTCGCATTGGGCCACTTGGGTGGCGAGGGTCCACCGCGGCGGGGCGGGGCAGATCTGCTCGTGGCCGTGGAGCTGAGTGCCACCCTCTTCGAGGTGTGTTTGGTTGGGGTTCTTTTTTTTTAAGATGGTGGCTGGAACAGGAATTTTGCCCCCAACACTCCAGGTATAAACAGTGCGGATCAAAAAAAACAGGAGAATGACCTCAACCTCCGATAGTGCGCTGGTGACACACCGGATGAAAGTAAATATAGCCTGCATTCACCACCAAAAACCATCAAATGTAGGCGATATTTGCTTACATGGATCGTTTGGGTATGAGGTGTCTTTTTGATTTCGTGCATCAAGTCGAGTCGACGCAGGTCCCCTCGCTCCGCTCCGAGGTCCTTAAGGGTTTGGAGCGTCCGGGCACCACGGTCTTCGCGGGGCACGACACCACGCTGAATGCCCTGCAAGCCATCTTGGGAGCCTTGGGCGTGTTGAAAAGGAAGCGGGTCTGGCAGGGCGGACGCGGTCGGAGGGGTGGCATGTCGTTGCGTGGGACGCTGGGGACCTTGGAAGAGGTTTGGTGGCATTTTGTTTTTCAAGACCCTGTGAGGTAAGAGGTTTGATGTGTTTGTTCAATTTTGTTCAGTGGTCCCATGGATTATGAAGACCATTGAAGACCCCTTACCTAAGGCTGATGATATGAAGCACCTTTGCACCTATGAAAGGACCCTAGAAATGACCAAACCAGGTGTAAATTCATTCAAATAAACACCAGTTGATGCGGAATTTCTGAACCAGATTGGAACATGTGGGGAACCTAACATGAAGCATGAAAGGGAACATGGGACATGACCCGAACCCAAACACACATCGCACCTTTTCTCGCTGACTCATGTCATGCGTTCGAACGACGAATGGCTCGGCCTTGAGCCAATGCAGGCATAGGATCGGTTGATCCGTGAACCATGGTTGGGAATCCATCCACAACGAAGGTTGACAATGGCCACATTGGAGACCTTCTGGATATCTAGAGCTTCAACTCATAGACTCCCAAAACTTGCATAGTAACCTTCACGGTCACAACTGGAAATGACTGGATCACGAGTGATTTCAACTTTCCACACCCCCTTTTGTGACCGTCATTTGAGGAACAGTTGCGAACAATTGCGAACAAAATGCTTGGCGCCAAAATAACTGCACATACAGGAGATTATTCGAAAGTTCAATCTTATCTGAGATTCATTAAAAATCTTTATCAAAGTCGTGACCGGAGCTCAGGCACGCTCAGAATGGTCACACCTAAGAAAAGCTCTGAGAATATTTCACTGACAAATCAAGCTGAAAGCTCAACCGAAGAAGGCGTTCACTTGACCACTTTGGCTTCTGGCCCGAACAGTGATGGCGTTTCATCACCTGGCACGGACAATCTTGAGAACATTATGCATTATTTAGAACACTAAGCAATGCTGGCGGACGACGGAAGGCGAACTGCATCAAAGCACTGCTTCCTTTTCAGTTGGAATTGGCCATCAACTGTCAAACAAAAAGGAACGGACGCTGACCACAAATGCCGTTGCTTTATTCGGTCATGGAATTTCACAGCATATACTTTATGTCAACGTCTAGAACTTACGATTTTGAAGGCTTGGTCATGAAGTTGCATTGAACTCTTTCATCATTTATCCAAGCTTTGGCAATCGTGGTGATAGCTTAATTTGGTCTGCATGTACCATCCTAATTTTACATAGAGTATCGCTCATTTGATCCTGATCCGGGGCTCCAGATGCTTTTGACGGAGCTTGACAGGGAGGCATGCAAACCTTGCAACAAACTCGTTCAAGGATCGGGCCCCAGCGTGGACACTCACATTGGTCCATTGCATTGACTGCATGGCAGACATGGTTCTGAATGCCCATCTTCATGCCATATTTGTTGACGCTCAAAAGATCTCGGCCAAAACATGCACTGCACATGTAGACCTCCTCGGTCTTGGTGCTACGCCTCAACGAACCACAGCTTGGAAGGTGAACCTTTCCGGTAGACTCGACGCTCAAGAGCTTTCTTCCCTTGTACATATTGTACATTGACTGCAGCTCATCGGGCATTGTCTTCGGCACATTAGGCATGGCAGCTGTCGAATGGCGTTCATGGATCTGGGGCTCATCTTCCAAACTCAATAGAGGAAGATTCCGGCGGCGACACCTTGATGAAGATGCGGATGGTGCTTCAGACATATTGGATTCGGCCTGATCATCTTTTTGATCTCGAGAAGTGCTACGCTCACGACGGCGGCTTGATGAACGAGATCTTGGCGTTCGTGGTGAACGATGTCCAGCCCTGTTCGAGCTGCGATCTTGCCGTGTCAAAACACAGCACAACGTCATCACCTGCAATAGCACCATGAGAAACATGATCTCAGCCAACATCCACTGGGAACAGAAATCAGGCTTTGCGTTAAAGCTTGAGCGGAAACTTATCGGTTCATATATCTATATATTTGGCTTCTGTTGCAAGACAATTTGGGTGTACTCACCAAAACAATCTCACTATATATTTGGCTTCTGCTGCAAGACAATTTGGGTGTACTCACCAAAACAATCTCACGGCATGGCTACTGATTCAGTTAGAGCTATCAATTGGGTGACTGACGAGATTCGGCACACTGAACAAAATGTCATTCCACCCTGGCTCAAACATGATGTATCCACCTCCGGATGCTGATGGCTCGGCGCGGCTTATGGAGATCACTCCACTGGCAATGACCTTGCAAAGATTCTCTGGATAGCGGCCGGTAGATGTCCAATCGACTGAGTTGAATGGGAGGTGATACGAACAACTGCATTCTTTTGCATGTTTCGAGAACTTACGAACAATTGTGGGATGCGATCCAACCCACAGGAAAACTTTGGAGACTGGCACATCGAAAGAACACAACTTTGGGAATTCACAGAACAATTTTCTTCCAATGTTCTTCAATGACTTGTGAAGCTGTTCACTCTTCCAATAGTTATTTCTCTTAGGCAACTCAAAAGAAAAGTGACTCGAACTTGCACAAATCTTCTCGCACAAACTGAGCAAATGGAAGAATGTGTAATGACGATGCTGCTTCAAGGATTCATTCTTATTCAGATTCTGAATATTACTACCTCCTGTGCACGGCAGTGAACAATGGGAAAAACTGAAACCTTTGTGCCTCGAAAGCAGCTGGATGATTTCTGGCTGATGGACCTCAAGAGGACTATCCTCCGTGATTCTGATGATCAACCAGTTGTGGGGACACATCTTAAAAATTATGTTGCTCAATTGGCTTTTGCGGTCACAGCAAATCTCCAAGAAGATGTTCTCGATATGGATCTGGCGTCAATCAACAAGCTTCGCATGGCCTCAGGTTCTGACACACTAGATGGGCTGCCCGGCAACATATCAGGGACAGAACTGGCAGAATTTTCCTTTGGTTCATTTGCAGGGACTCCGGAATGACTGCTCGGCAGTAAATCCGAGTATGCTACCTGTTGAGACTTCATGGACTTGGACTTGGCGGGCGAGGTACGGATCTGAGACCTGAGAATGAGCTCATGTGCATATGCTTCAGTGGAGAGTTCACTCCTTTCAAGATACCCCATGAGAACAACGAATCGATGAAAGAGCTTTGCCCCTAGCGTCTTGGTCAATGCATCAGCAATTTGACCTCCGGCATCGATCCAATTGAGTTTAATCTTACCTTGCTTGACCAGCTCTTGACAAAAATAAACACGCAATTCGACGTGTCTTGATCGCCTCTGAAGCCCACTGGCTTGGAGTATCCGGATTGCAGCCTGAGAATCGCAATACATTTCGATGATAGCATCGGGTTGCTCAACACTTTGGGACACCGTCGAATCAGCTTGGGCTTTGGCAGCAAACAGGAACGATGCAAGATGAAACACCTGATTGCACCCGAAGAAACTTTCATGGATTGCACGCATATCATTATCGATACCCAAGAAAAGATGCTTCGAGATCTTATTTACTCCTAGCGACTCTTGACATGCATCGGCCAATGCTGACAGCTCAGATTCACAACTAGAAAGTGCTACGGCTTGTTGGACCCTGGAGAATCCTTTTACCAAAGATCCTTTGTAAAAAATTGCACTTCCTGTGATTGAGCGCCTCTTCAGGCATCTCAAGGGTGCCCAGGATGCGTCGCAGAAGACCACAAGATTCCTGGATGATTGCTCATCGAATGTGGACTCCGGACTGGGAAAATGCTGAGCAATTCTTCTTTGACTGAACAACCATTTGAGGACAGCTCGGAGGGCCAATTCATGACGATGTTCGGGATTGGCCATCCCGGTGGCCAGCAAAGTGATGTAAATGCCTAAAAACATCAAACTTTGACACAACCACGAAAGTTTTCCAAGAGCTGCTTTGTAGCGCAATGCTGCTTCAGTCGACAGAGGCTCACACTTCTCTTCGTTGTCAAGGATTGGTCTCAAATCTGGAGGGCAATCACTTCCACGAACAATTCCGAAAACTTCAAAAGTAGAATCTAAATAGCTTTCATCGATGTGCAAAGTGATCTTAGATTCATTCGCCCTTCTCTCGATATTACGTCCAAGAAAACGAAGCTTACCACCCCCTTCTTTGCTTGAAAGAATAGACCCGGTTATCTTGATCTTCAAGTGCTTTGACAAGAAATCATACACAGCATAGACATGCTCCTTGGAAGCTGAGAAGACCAAAAGGTCATCGACATAGGCAACCAACCACCTGACACTGAACCCACGCTTTGCCGTTCTTACCATCAATCTCTCCGGCAAACACGGTTGACTCAACTGATGATGGCACAATGTTGAGCCTCTGAAGCAAAGCTGAAAGGTGATCGACCCAAGCACGGCCACTGGACCTAAGCCCGTTGATGGCTTTCCATGCTTCCAAGAAAACTGGGGATCCATCCTTATGTGTGATATTTGGAGGGAATTTGAGAATGACACGAATGCGCTTCCCAAGTTTACGGCCTAATGGACTTGCCATGAATGCTGCACTTACGTCGAGACCCAAGATTGTGAGATCTTGGACTGCGGCTTCTGAGAGCATGAGTCTCAGGCTTTCGATCGACGATGTTGGGGATGAGATTTGCAAATCCTTGGCATGAAGTTGTCCACGTGCGATCTCTCGAGCAACCATACGCATACGAACGTTATCAGCGTCTTTTTGAGTGGAGACCCAACGACAGGTTATTGGCACAATATCCCATTCTTTACAAAGCTGCGTTGCTTCGTTTTGTTTGAGGACACGGCCAACCTCTTGCAAAGACGTGCTTCCCACTTCAACTTTCATTCCTTCCCAAGATTGATCACAACTCAAATGAGTTCCATCAACATCACTAATTACATACCCTGGGAAATGGAGCATGACCTTTGTACCACACAGTTCAACTTCTTCTTTATAAGTTGGTCGATCCTTGAGTTGATACACACTATTCATGAAACCAATAT